GAATAAGGAAGACCATAGAAGAATTGATGCTTTTGAGTTATGGTGTTGGAGGAGAATACTGAAAGTGCCATGGGCTGCCAAAAGAACTAATGGATCCATTTTGGAAGAAGTGCAGCCAGAGTGCTCCTTGGAGGCCAAAATGGCCAAACTTCGTCTCTCATACTTTGGACACATTGCCAGGAGGGACCAGTCACTGGAGAAGAATACCATGTTTGGTAAGGTGGAGAGTCAGAGAAAAAGAGGAAGACCCTCCAATGAGATGGATTGGCGAAGTGGTAGGATTGGTGGACTCAAGCATGGCAACAGTAGTAAGGTTGGCCCAGGGTTGGGCAGCGTTTCATTCTACTGTGCATAAGGTCGTTCTGGGTCCATATGACTTGATGGCACCTAACAACAATAACAAGAACTATATTATAAAACTAAGAGTATTTATAAATTTAAACTTCATATTAAATTTATGTGGCTACACTTAGAACAAATTTTGTCTCATAAAACTACATCTTACAGGTATCCAACGATGGCTATAGATTCAGTAATCCCAAAATATTGATCATATATGATAGTTCTTGTCATGTTTGTCGTCCCTATGAAAACAACTCATGTACTGCAAAGGTATGTATCTTTTCACTTATATTAATATTTACATTGCATGCATTTTAATTTCTCTTTTTAGCTTTTTATTGTGAATTAAGTGAAGGTTTACAGAGCAGAACATCAGTTTTGTACTAAAAAAAGCAGATACTTTATTTCATCTCAATGATTACAATCCCCTCAATGTAACATCAGTTATCTTTCTACCTGTCTCTGTTCCTTGTTTCCATTCATCCTTCTTTCCCAACCCTTCTGAACTTTATTGTTGGGTAAACATTACCTTTTTTTTTTTTCAAAATCTCAAATGGCTGACATTCTAAGGTGTGCTGTTGTCATATTATTTGTGGGTTTTCTACCTATATATCTGAAATTCTTAAAGAGAAAAACTTTATTCATTTTCATATAGTTTAATACTATATAAACTTGAGAAAACCTTTTCTCTATTAGAAACCTACCACTCATCTATCAGATTGTTGTACTTGCATGTATTTGCATGTGTTGGCTTGCATGTTCCCCTTTTGCTAGAAAGTTTGCCACTGGTAATTCAAACATCAGTAGAGTCACGCAAACCTGGTGAACAGGTGTCAGCAAAGCTTCATGACTAACAAAACTAACAGTCTACTTCTGAAAAAACTGATCTCTGAAAATCTTATGAAAACCAATAAAACATTGTCTGATATAATGCCAGAAGATGAGTCTTTCAGGTTGAAAGGTACTCAAAATAGTACTGGGGAAGAGCTGCCTCCTCAAAGTAGAGTTGGCCTTAATGACATGGATGTAATAAAGCTTTCAGGACCTCCATTTGCTGAAATGGAATGGCTGAACATGAGGAGAAACAGGTGCAAACATACATGAATAATTATATTGTGGATTGTGCATAAAGATCAATATCCTCAGATTAGTGTGCTGAGAAGCACTGGTATTATCCATTCTGAATCACAAATATATGGTCTGCTATGCCAGGAATGACAAACTGAAGTGGAATTATGTTGCATTCATCATCAAAAATCATTTCAAGATATACCCTGAAGCCCATTGCTATCAGCAATATGATAATATCTGTATACCTAAAAAGAAGGTCATTAGTCAAAATTACCCATCAATTCTGAATGTCAAAAGATAAAGAAATTGATGTTCTTTTTCAAACTTTTGCAATCTGAAATTGATGAAACATGCAATCATAATGCATTGATAATTGGAGTGTAATCAAGAAACAATGATAACATCATAAAAAGACCAGACTTACTGTCTAGATAAAGACTGGTGGAACTTTGAGACGATGGCTGTTGGCCATGCTTCAGGTCTGGAATTAAACTCAACCCTGTGGCACAATACCAAACAGTAGCTAGGTATACAGGGGGACAACAACACTAGTGAGGTTTGCACAGCTTAGAATGTCAGCCATTTGAGATACAAAAGGTAAAATTTACCCAAGGATAAAGTTCAGAAGGGTTGGAAGAGAAGGAAGAATGGGATAAGTGATGTTACATAGAAGAGATTGCAATCATTGAGATGAAATGAAGTGTAAGATTTGTTGAATGTAAAACTGATGATCTCCTCTGTAAATCTTCATTCAATTCACAATAGAAAGTTTAAAAACTAGGAAAAAAAAAGAGAGAGAGAGAGAGATTCATTGATAATTGGAATGCATTGGTGATTGGCATGCAAAAGTTAGAAACAGAGATTGTTGTTGTTAAATGCTGTCCAGTAAGTTGTATTCATAGAGATCCTATATAGGGTTTCTGAGGAGCAGCTGGGGAGTTCAAATGCCATTCTGTGGTTCAAACCAACCTTGCAGTCCAGTGCATTATTCTGTAGTGTCATACCAGGACTCCCGAAAAGGGATTAGTAGCTGGAAAATATTATCTTGATGATAAAAATGGTGCTGGAGATTGCATAATAGAATTTTGCATAACCAATGATTTATTAATTGCAAATACCATTATCTAACAATGTAAACAGTGGCTATACACTGTAGACCTTTTGAAATTGAATACACAGGAATCAAATTGACTACATCTATGGAAAGATATGACGGAAAAGCTCAATATTGTCAGCCAGAATCAGGCTAGGGACCAACTGTTGAAAAAAATATCAATTGCTCATATGCAACTGCAGGTTGAAGCTGGAAAAAATTAACACAAATCCACAAGAGCCAAAAATACTGCCTTGAATTTAGAGAGTATCTCGAGAATAAATTTGATACACTGAACACTAATGTCTGAAAACAAGAGAAGATGTGAAATGGAATTAAGAGAATCACATATGAAGAAAAGAAAAGGTCATTAAGAAGACAAGGAAAGAACAAAATGGATGTCAGAAGACCCTGAAATTTGCTCTTAAATGTAGAGAAGCTAAAGTTACCTGTAGAATTTATGAAGTACAGGAGTTAAGCAGAAAATTTCAAAGGACAACTTGAGAAGACACAGAAAAGTATTATAATTAAATAGGTAGACTTGGAGTTAGAAAACCAAAAGGTGAGAATTCACTCGGCAATTCTCAAGCTGAAATAACTGAAGATAAAAAAATCAAGATTGAGTTGCAACGTTGAAGGATCCTATAGTCAGAATCGACTCAATGACACTTAACAATAAAACAATAGGAAAAATATTGAACAATGCAGAAAACTTCAAAAGAAAAGAGAAAGAGTACACAAAGTAAGTATACCAAAAAGCAATGGTCAATGTTCAGCCATTTCGGAAGGTAGCATTTGATCAAGAATCAATGGTACTGGAAAAAGGAGTCAACGCTGCAGGAGTTGACAGATTCCAAGTGTGATGTTTCAACTTTTGGCATGGACTTTCTCTTGTCTATGCCAAGAAATTTGGAAGACAACTACTTGGCCAACTTACCAGAAGAGATACATATTTGTGCCCATTCCAAAGAAATGTAATCCTACAGAATGTAGAAATCATTGAACAATATCATTAGTATCACATGCAAATAAATTTTTGGTTCAGATAGTTAAAACAGTTGCAGTAGTACAGTGACAGGGAGCTGCCTGAAATTCAAGCTGGATTCAAAAGAGGATGTGGAACAAGGGAAATCATTGCTTATGTCACATGGATCTTGGCTAAAAGCAGAGAATACTGAAGAGATGTGTATTGGGTTTTATTGATTATGCAAAGTCTGTTTGGATCATAACAATTTATGTATGTTACATATTAAACCTTGCCAAGAATGGGAATTCCAGAATTATGCTCATGCAGAACCTGTACATAGAACATGAGGTAGTAATGCAAATAGAACAAGGAGATAACTGTGTAATTTATCATCAGAAAAGGTGTGTGTCAGTGTTGTATACTTTTTCCACACTTTTTCAATCCATACGCTGTACTATATGAAGAAGAATGGGGCATTAGTATCAGAGTATGATTCATAAACAACCTGCTATATGCAGATGACATAGTTTTGCTTGGTGAAAGTGAAGGAGACTTGACGCACTTACAAATAACTACAACAGTTCATCACAAAGCAAATATCCTTGCAACTAATCCAATAAGTAACATCATGATAAATGCAGAAAATATTAAAGTTGTCAAGGATTTCATTTTACTTGGATCCACAATCAGTGCTCATGAAACAGTAAATCAAGAAGTCAAAAAACATTTTGCATTGAGCAATCTACTACAAAAGACTTCTTTCAAGTGCCAAAAGCAAAGATATCGCTTTGAAGATGAAGGCGCAGGTGCGGCTGACTCAAGCCATGATAATTACAGTCGCTTCGCGGCTGACTCAAGCCATGGTAATTACAGTCGCTTCATATGCATGCACAAGCTGAACAATGAATAAAGATAACTAAAGAAGAATTGATGCATTTGAATTGTGGTGTTAGCAAAGAATACTGAATGTTTTCCAGAAAGGCAAACATAGACTACTGTCTTGGAAAAAGTACAACCAAAATGCTTCTTAGAATCTAGGACGGTGAGATTTCATCTCATGTATTTTTGACATGCTATCAGGAAGTTATCAGTCCCTAGAGAAGAACATCATGTTGGGTAGAGAGTCAGTGGAAAAGAGGAAGACCCTCAACGCAATGGAGTCAAGCATAGGAAAGATTGTGAGGGTGATACTCAACTGAGCAGTGGTTTACTCTTTTATATCTAGGGTCTTTATGAATTGGAATTGACTCCATGACATCTAACAACAACAACGATTAGAAACTATATTACTCTGCATATATCTTCTTGAAATAGCAAAAATTCCTACTTTTAACATTTTGAAGTTAAAATAAATACATAATGAGAGGAGATTCATTATGTTTTTTTTGATTCATTGGTTTTTTTTTGTTATGGAAATACATATGCAACAAAACATTTGCCATTGCAACCATTTAAAAATGTACTCTCATTCTTACATATGTACTTAAAAAAAATAAAGTAGTAATAATGGTTTTCCAGTAAGATATATTTCATCTTGGAGGTGTAGCCCACTTTGTGGTGACATACATATGTGTGGTGGTGGTGGTTATGTGCCAGGGAGTCAGTTCCGACTCATAGTGACCCTATACAGGGTTTCCGAGGCTGTAAATGTTTATGGGAGCAGAAAGCTTCATCTATCTCCCGTGGAACAGCTGGTAGTTTCAAACTGCTGACCTTGATGCTCACAGCCCGATTCGTAACCAGTACGCTACCAGAGCTCCATATATGTATATATATGGTGTTGTTGTTATGTGCCATTGAGTCGGTTCCGACTCACAGCGACCCTGTACAAGGTTCCCGAGGCTGGAAATCTTTACGGGAGCAGAAAGCCTCATCTTTCTCCTGCAGAACAGCTGGTAGTGTCGAACTGCTGACCTTGCGGTTCGCAGCTCGATTCGTGATTCGTAACCACTACGCTAATGTGTAGAGTTTATCAAATACATAAGGGAAGTACTTTTAATAGGAGTTGTTTGTTGTTTTTTCCCTGGAAACTAAGTTTAGTGTAGAAATGTGCCACTTGATGGGTTACTGAACTGAGCCCTGTTGGTCACACCCTTTTCTTAATCTATATCTACTGGACTCATCAACAGATGTCTTACATATTATTTGATAACTGATCTTATATCACTTTACTCTTCAAAACTGAGGAGCATATCAAATAATATTTATGTAAATTGCCCCAAATTACCTTTTTCTCAATTGTAAATCTGATTTTCTTGAGACTAGCAATCAGATTAGATCACTAAGTATTTTCTATTTTTCAGAATTTGGCTGATTTTTATTTTCTCCTGAATATTCCATTTTTATATGTACTACAGTACATTTAAAATGTTGTTAAGGTTTGTATTATTCTCTTGGGGCTATTTTTGCTTAGTTTTGCATAATGTTCTGATTAATGTACAAGGAAATACTGTAAAATGAGTGACATTTATAGATCATGAGCAAAATTTGGTCTTTTCCTACATTAAAAGTGATTGCTACATTTAACAATCATTAGTTCTGTGTGTGTCAGATTCTATTTCAACTGTTGTGTGTAATGATATTCATTATCAAGTGTGAATGATTATGCCATGGATCTGACCCAGCTTGCTATGATCACAAAGCATAGTGGGCAGCTAGAAGGACGGAGGACAGCTGTAAACTAATGTGACTTTATAAAATGTGCAGGGGAAAAAAAAAAATCAGGTTTACCACTTTATAAATAAAGTGCTCCCAGCATGAGTTTAGGAGTGAAAAGCCAAAAATAAAATGGAAATCTCACTTGGTATTATCTACGGTGATGGTGGTGATGGTGGTTATGTGCTGTGGAGTCGGTTCCAACTCATAGTGACCATGCATAGTGTTTCCGAGGCTGTAAATCTTTACAGGAGCAGAAAGCTTCATCTTTCTCCCTCAGATCAACTGGTAGTTTCGAACTGCTGACCTTGAGGTATTATTTATAAGCCCTGTAATTTTGAATAGGGACATAACTTTTCTTATTCATAGATCTCATTCTGGGCATAATTTATTCTCTATCTTGCATTTATGATTATAAGATATGAAAAATAAACAGATTTATAATTCAATTTTATTGGAATTATTAATATATATGCTTCTTCCTTGTAGTTTTTCCCTCCTAAACATGCACTGTAGTTGTCTGTTCATTGTTTTCCTTTTTAAAAACTTTATTAGGAGAAAGTTTGCTTTATCGATGGACTCTGCTATGTTGAAGGGGATAAAAATCCTACCAGCTCTTGTTTGATATGTAGACCTAACATTTCACAATTCACGTGGTCATTTTCAGAAAGTAAGTTATTCTTTATTAACTTATAAATTTTCTATACAAAATATTCTAAAAGTAATTTAAAAACATGACTTAAATGACTTTTTAAAAGATGGATTAGCACTATATTCAATTTAACATTTATTCTAAATGTATAATTTATTTTGTTGGAAGAAAATAGAAAAGAATTTCTTTTTATAATATCTATGATTATACTTAATATGGAATGGAATTTTTATTTTAGTATTTGATAAAGAAACCAATATGAATTATTAATGGGAGAAATGGAAATGAATAATTTAGCTACAAACAATTATGCAAGTCCAAATACCTACTTTCAAACATTTTATGAAAAAAAAAAAAAAAAAAAGACCCATATAAATGTCAGTGTGTTTAGTGGAAAGAGAATATTACTTTGAAACCAAGGGCTTAGATCTTGTTCTTATCACTCTTCAGATTTGTAACAAGGTTTTTGACCATTTAATCTACTAAGGCTCCGGCTCATCTTCTATTCAATAAAATTCATGCACTCAATAATCTATGAAATTCTTTCCAGAACTATCATTTTGTGCCTCTATGAGTATAATAATGCAATTGTTGCTGATAAGTTCCGTCAAGTCGATTCCAACTTACGGCAACCCTATATAGGGTTTCCAAGGAGTTGCTGAAGGATTTAAACTGCTGACCTTGCAGTTAGCAATACAGTGCTTATTCTATAGTACCACATCAGGACTCTGAGTATCATAATGGATATAGTTAATTTCTGGATACTTGGTTTCAATCAAACAATGCACCAAATTCTAGTCATGTGCGACATGATTTATTCACTTTCCCAAATAAAGCTGTATATGATTCTACATGTGTGTGTCCCTCAGATTCTCTTCCCTCAGGGAGAAGACAAGGGCTTCCTTAGATACAATAAGATTCAATTACTTCCCAATCTCATGTAATCTTATGTAATGATGTCTTAGAAACTTTAATATCATGTATAATAATATCACATGTATGATAATATCACAGTTTATACATGTTTGGGTATTATTGTCTTAGTCCATTTGTCACTACTCAGATATGTTGTTGTTGTTGAGTGCTGTCTAGCTGGTTTCTATTCACAGTGACCCTTACAGAGTTTCCAAGGAGCACTTGGTGAGTTTAAACTGTTGACATTGTCATTAACAGTCCAGTGCTTATCCAACAGCACCACACCAGGATTCCCTGCTCAGGTCTAAAACTCAAGAAATAGTTTGAGGAGTTATTTGAAATGTGGGGAAGAACTTAGTAAAAGAGACAACAGAAACAATGCAGCTTCTGAACTGGTGTCTATTTATGTTTTTAATGGCTATGCATGGTTGATTCAAAGGAGCCTTTATGATTCAGTGCATTAAGTGTTGGACTGCTAACTGAGAGGTCAGCAGTTCCAACCTACCAACAGCTCTGCATGAGAAAGATGAGGTAGTTTGCTTCTGTAAAGATTTGCTGGTGTTATTGCTGTTTTTGTTGTTTGTTGTTGTTAAGTACCGTGGAGTCAGTTCTGACGCATAGTGACCCTGCACAGGGTTTCTGAGGCTATAAATCTTCATGGGAGTAGAAAGCCTCATCTTTTCTCACGCAAAACCACTGGTAGTTTCAAACTGCTGATCTTGAGGATGGCAGCCCAACTCCATAACCACTACACTACCAGAGCTCCTTTGTTACTGCTGTTAAGTGTCATCAAATAGATTCCAACTGACAAGGATTGGTGGTAGGTTTAACCACTGATCTTGCAGTTAGCAGTCCAGTGCTTGCCCAACAGCACCACAATAGCTTTGGTAAGAAACCCTATGGAGTAGTTCTATAGAGTCATTGTGAGTTGGACTTCACGCTACAGCAGTTGATGTTATTGTTGTTAAGTGCCGTCGAGTCGGTTCCAACCCATAGCGACCCTGTATAGGGTTTCCAAGGAGCAGCTGGTGAGCTTGAACCGCCGACCTTGCAGTTCAACTTCCAACTCATAGGGACCTTGTATTAGGGTTTCTGAGAAGCAGTTGGTAGATTTTTTTTTTTTTGTCCAAAGATATAAGGGATCTTAAAATATCATCTGTTGTTTCAATTCCTTTATATTAAGAATAAGGGAATTAATTATCAGTAAATTAAGATCCTGTGTGAGGATATACCGGGCCTAATGAAAGGCAGAACTGAAGTCACTTTTCATCAAGGTTCCCTGATGCAAGCAGAGGTTTGTGCCCAGTACAACTTCATGAGGCTGTTCTTTCTATCTGTTGAGCCAGTCAGTATGTCTTTATGGTTGTTGTTGTGTGCCATCAAGTCAGTTCTAATGCACAACATAAAGGGTCCTATCTATGGTCTCTGAAAAAGCCACAAATCCAATGTATAAAGTCAACCACTAGAAGGATCTTTGAGGAACAGATGACTGGCATGACAATTTTGTTGTTAGTTGCCAGTAAATCGATTCTGACCAATGGTGACCAATCTTTGCAAAGTAGAACTGCTGCACAGGGTTTTCAAAGCTGTGGTTTTTCCAAAACAATCACCAGACCTGCCTGGTGGCTTTGAACCACCAACCTTTTGGCTAGTTGTCCAGTGCTTAACCACTTGTGCCAATCAGATACTCCTTGTTTGGCATGACTACTGGTTTCTAAATATTATAACTAGAGAGACAGCTACAACAAGGAAAGGAAAGGGAAGAGAAATGAACATGTCAGTCATGGATGTTGTTGTTATGTGCCGTGGAGTCGTTTCCAACTCATAGCGACCTGCACAGGGTTTCTGAGGCTGTAAATCTTTATGGGAGCAGAAAGTCTCATCTTTCTCCTGTGGAACAGCTGGTAGTTTCAAACTGCTGACCCTGAGGTTAGCAGCTCGATTCATAACCACTTTGCTACCAGAGAAATAAAGAGAGAAAGGAAGGACTAGAGGATAGAAATGCGGGCGAAAGGGACAGAGGACACATGAGAGACTGTGAGAGAGCCAGCAGTGAGATGGTGAATACTGAGACTTAATTTCAGGTACAGAGGACTTGTATCCAGCCTGGCCAATGAAAATGTGCTTCTTTTTTTATGCTATATTCAACGTGATTTCATGCTCTCATAGCAAAGATTGGAGCCTTGCACCTCTGTTTTACATTGCAAAGAATAGAATAGAATTTTTTTTTTTTTTTTCAAAATGAGGGGAAAATATAGTCTAGGTGATGTTGGGGAAAGTAGCTAATAGATTTTAGGAAAGTCTCAGTGGGAGTGCTTCACATCACTCTTCTTTCCTTTCCCAAGCAGGTAAGAAAGTAAATGTTTTCTCTGTTACAGACAACCAACCCCCAGTAATTCAAGTACCACAAGACAGATTGCAGGCATTTTATGGAGAAAACTTTACGTACCAATTCATGGCCTTTGATCCAGAAGGCTCTGACATCCGTTTTACCTTAGACTCTGGTCCTGAAGGAGCAAGTGTTTCCCCCACAGGACTGCTTATGTGGAAAACAGATTCACAGACCCCTCAACTATTCACTGTATACCTAAATGATGAATGCCAGGCTAAAACTAGAGTCACCATTGAGGTAATATTTGTAATGATATAAATATCACTCAGTTTTTAACAATAGTAATAACTACATAATTTTTTTTTTACTATTCTTTGTAAGAATGTGAACCCTTAGGAGAGATTTCCAGCCACAGCAATCATGGATCAAATCACTAATCCTGAGATGACTTTCTTTTTAATTCAATTATGATACAGATACAGAACTTAATGATGTCTAGCTCCATTAAAGATAATTAGCTCATGCTCTTTTAGAATTTATTTTATAATCTCAAACATTGAATTAGAAATCAACATTTTAATTTACCAACTATGGTTCCAGTTTTCCTTAGTTTTTATTGTTAGTCATTAGTTTTTGTTGTTGTTGTTAGGTGCCATCGAGTTGATATTGACTCATAGCGACACTATGCACAACAGAACGAAATACTGCCCGGTCCTGGGCCAACCTCACAATTGTTGCCACACTTGAGCCCATTGATGCTGCCACTTTGCAAATCCATCTTGCTGGGGGTCTTCCTGTTTTTCTCTGACCCTCCACCTTACCAAACAGTCCTTCTCCAGTGACTGGTCCTGTCCTTTCTGACAATATATCCTAAGTATGAGAAACGAAGTTTGGCTATCCTGTCCTCCAAGAAACACTCTGGCTGCACTTCTTCCAACACAGATCTGTTTGTTCTTTTGGCAGCCCATGGTAATTTCAATATTCTCCTCCAACACCATAACTCAAATACATCAATTCTTCTATAGTCTTCCTTATTCATTATCCAGCTTTCGTATGCATATGTTATTGAAAATACCATGGCTTGGGTCAGGCACACCTTAGTCCTCAAGCTGACATCTTTGCTCTTAAACACTTTAAAAAGGACTTGTGCAGCAGATTTGCCTGATGCAATACATCTTTCTTGACTGCTAATTGCATGAGTGTTGAGAGTTGATCCAAGAATGAAGTCCCTGACAACTTCAATCTTTTCTTCATTGATAAGAATGTAATTTATTGGTCCAGTGGACAGGATTTTTGTTTTCTTTACATTGAGATGCAATTCTTACCAAAGTCTGTGGTTTTTTATCTTCATCACTAAGTATTTGAAGACCTCTTCACTTTCAGCAAACAAGGTTGTATCATCTGCATATCTTAGGTTGTTAATGAGTCTTCCTCAAATCCTAATGCCATGTTTTTCTTCATGTAACCCAGCTTCTTGGATTATTAGCTTTGAATATTTATAAATTGCTTTTGTGTCCTACACTCACATGAATCTTGAGACACACTTTTCAAAGAAGCAATTAGGTCCTATATCATGTTAACCCAGTAATTCCAGTGATGATTTAGGAACTGACCTATTAATTGGGAACCAACTACTTTCTACTTTGACTTAGTTTTTCTTAGTTCTTGCATTATAGAATCAATTTTGCAATAAAAGAAAAAATAGATCCCTAGAATTTATTTTCAAGCTTTGCTCTGATATCATAGCCTTATTAAACAATTTTTAAAAAAATTATCATCCTATTAGATATATATGTTTTAAATGCTTGCAAAAATATGTTATTTTGTCATACTTGTGTGTATACTGTATGCCTATATGATTCCAAGGGCATAGAAGGAAGATAACTTCACTGCAAAATAAATCATTTCCTTTTTGTTGCTCTGCAGGTGACCTTGAAATCTTGTGATTGCATGAATGGCGGATCATGTGTGTCTGATATGAACTTTCCTCCAGGAAGTGGGGTATACCTATGTGTCTGCTTGCCTGGTTTTCGGGGTGGTCTTTGTGAAATAGACACCAGTGAGTGCCAATCTAACCCCTGTGGTCATGGCAGATGCATTAGTGGTTTTCACAGTTATTCCTGTGATTGCCCCTCTCAGTTCAAAGGTAAGTTTGGGTTCCTTATGCACCAAATTAGAATGTGAACAAATGAGAAAGGAAAATGCACCAGAACTTTCATCTATAGATTGCTCAAGCACATGTGTGGTCTTAGAGATTTTGATAAACCTTTTCTAAATCCTAATCAAAAGTAATCAAAAATTTATCTGATGCCCATTTTCTGGTCCAAACAGAACATGGGAACACTGAATGGTTTAAAATTAAGAAAGGTGTGTGACAAGGTTGTATTCTTTCACCATACTTATTCAGCTTGTATGCTGAGCAAATAATCCAAGAAGCTGGGTTTTATGAAGAAAAACATGGCATCAGGGTTGGAGAAAGACTCATTAACAACCTGCAATATGCAGATGATACAATCTTGCTTGCTGAAAGTGAAGAGGACTTAAAACATTTGCTGATGAAGATCAAAGAGTACAACCTTCGGTATGGATTACACCTCAATGTAAAGAAAACAAAAATCCTCACCACCGGACCAATAAACAACATTCTTAACAATGGAGAAAAGATTGAAGGTGTCAAGGACTTCATTCTTCTTGGATCAACTATCAACACTCATGGAAGCAGCAGTCAAGAAATCAAATGCCAGATTGCATTAGGCAAATCTGCTGTACAAGACCTTTTAAAGTGTGAAGAGCAAAGATGTCAGCTTGAGGACTAAGGTGTGCCTGAGCCAGCCATGGTATTTTCAATAACCTCATATGCAGGCAAAAGCTAGACAGTGAATAAGGAAGACCGTAGAAGAATTGATGCTTTTGAGTTATGGTGCTGGAGGAGAATATTGAAAGGGCCATAGGCTGCCAAAAGAACCAATAGATCTGTTTTGGAAGAAGTGTAGCCAGAGTGCTCCTTGGAGGCCAAGATGGCCAAACTTCATCTCTCATACTTCGGTCATATTGTCAGGATGGACCAGTCACTAGAGAAGGATATCATGTTTGGTAAGGTGGAGGGTCAGAGAAAAAGAGGAAGACCCCCAACAAGATCGATTGGCCAAGTGGCAGCATCGATGGACTCAAGCATAGCAACAATAGTCAGGTTGGCCCAGGATCGTGCAGTGTTTCGTTCTGCTGTGCATAGGGTCACTGTGATTAGGTGCTGACTCAATGGCACCTAACAACAACAACAATATTGCTTACATGTATGTAGTCTTGTAATATTGCTCGTTATTCTAGTTGTAAATCCATATTGTGTCTGGTTGGCTTATAAGCATTTCTACTAGTAGCCCCATAGAAATATGTTTAAATGTATTGTTAGAATATAATATATAAAAAATTTTAAATGATGACTTTAATGATAGAAAACAATCACTCAAGATGTTTTATTTATTATTCATTAATTCAGAAATGTTATGGCACTAAGTTAAAATACATTTTTAGTATACTTAATTACTTGTTAATTGCTCTAAAATGCTTGGTTCTAGTAACCTCAAATAAGTGTGTAACTGATAAACTTTAATTTTCAGGACTTTAAGAGTAAAAAATGCATACCAATATTTATTTTATTTAAATAAATGTAAATGTTAAATTAATGAAATGCAATAATCTATTTCTTGAAGACATCTATTTTAATATTAGAAGAAAGCACAATAGTTAGGTGTCTTCTAGTTTTCTTCAGCATTTTTAAAAAAATCATGATTTGGTAATAGAATGATAGGCCCCTTTATTTTCTTCTCACATTGTGCTAATGGCATTTGAAAGGATTCAAGTTTTCACCCACTGATGCGTCATAGACTTTTGTATAATACATGCTACCATAATGTTGAAGAATTTATTCATTCAAAAAAGTTTTTAAGCATTCCAAACAGCATCACTTTATCTTAAATTTTTTTATTGAGGGAAATCCTAAAAGTGAATTTCCTAGCATGCTATAAAATTTTCATAGAATTTCACAAAAAGTTAAAAACTGGACCAAACACTGAATAAAGTATCCTTAAGCTAAGAAGGCAATAGCTTTTCTAAAATCACTGAATTTTTAAACAATGTAGACATTGTTGTCACTGTTGATCAGTGATGTCGAGTTGGTTCTGGCTCATAGCAACCCTGTATAGGGTTTCTAAGGAACAGCTGGTGAGTTTGAACTACTGACCTGACCTTGTGTTTCAAACCAACCTTGTGGTCCCTATAATATTGTACTTTTGAGCCTTAAAAATATTAGTGGACTATTGAAATCTTCTTATTGTACTTGTTAAGTGTTGTCAAGTTGGTTCCAACTCTTAGTAACCTTGTATAGGGTTTCCAAGGAGTGGCTGGTGTGTTTGAACTGTGGACTTTATGGTTAGTGGGTTGGTGCTTATCCAGTGCCACACCAGGACTCCTAAAAATCTCATTTTCTGAAGAATCTTGTTGATTATTGAATGGAAGTAACTAATAGCTTTATGTTGATATACATGTATATATATATATTTAAAAAGCAGCATCATTCTCCCTTCATAATGTATTTTACTGCTTTTGTGGGGTTAGAGTGTCATATGTAAAAAGTGGGAAAAATCAAATAATGAACATTTGACTGGACAGCTAATATTTTGAATAACTTGAACTCTTGATTTATATTTTCTGTAGGCAAAAATTGTCAGGAAGATGTTGATGAGTGTGAATCCAGTCCTTGCATTCCAGGAGTAGCGTGTTTCAATACCTTTGGCTCCTATCATTGTGGTTCATGCCCAAAAGGATTTCATGGTGATGGGAAAATGTGTCATGGTAACAGTCCTTGCTTTATGCCATAAGTGTTTTCTCTGCTGAATCTAATTAATTTAATCCACTCAGTTTTAGTCATTCTCTCTCATGCAGTACAAATGTATTATGTCATGCAACAAGCTGATATAAACAAGACATATCCTATGGCAACAGGTTAGAGTGTGATAGCAAGAAGTATGGCAAGTAATTTTTGAAATTAATTATTCCTTGTATTTTGATAAAAGTGCCTCCAGGGAATAGTAGAAACACTATTCATGAATCACATCTACCTGAAGTGATAAAGAAAAGTAGTATTACTAGGGCTGAATCTGAATGATCCGATCAGGAGAGAGAAGGCATTCTAGGAAGAAGGAACAGCATGAGCAAACATAAGGAGGCATTTAACATCGTAGCTCAAATGGGGAACCATGAATCACTCAGTGTGCCTAGAGCACAGGAGGTAAGCGGGGTTGCTTTAACAGTGGGAGCTATAAAGATAGATTCTGGCCAGAACACTAACACGACTTGGGAGTCACTTTCTAAGGAGAATTTTGAAGTTGAAGAGGTTCATGATAAGGCTAACATTTGAGAAAATTCATTTAAAGGGTAGTCTGAAGAATGGTCCATTTGTAAGGAAGGAGTTGGGTAAGTTTGAAGGTGGGAAAAAGACTAAGCTAAGGCATTATTAAAACATTTAATAACACTTGAAAATATTTTGACCAGATGAGATGTGAGTATGGATGAAAGAGATGCTAAAGATGCAAAATGGCAGTGACTAGTCAGTGAGTGGAGGTCGCCTGGTGAGGGAAAAGAGCCATTAAGTTTCAAGTGTTTGATTTAGGAGATCAAAGTGTAGAATTGACAATCATATGCAATATGCAAAAAAAAAAAAGTGATTTTGGAAGGTGGGAAAATAATGAATTCACTTTATATAAATAGAGGGGTTGCTATGGAATATCCAAGTGGAATTCTGGAAAGGGAATTGAATTAAAGATATAATTCTTTAGTCATCAGCCATGGAAGGAAGTTGTCCAGGGGGAATGCTAACATTAAAAAGAAGAGAAAAAATATTGGTGGACATTAATATTTCAAAAGATTTAAGTCTAAATGTAAATTATAGAAGACAGTATTAAAGAACCATACTTTTGGTGTAGTTAAGCTAATGGGACCCTATTTTGATGAAAAACATTGTATATTAATAAGGTGATTGGTCCAGTGGTGAGGATTTTTGTTTTCTTGACATTGACTGCCAAAAGAACCAATAGATCTGTTTTGGAAGAAGTGCACCCAGAGTGCTCCTTGGAGTCCAGGATGGATGGCTAAGCTTCGTCTCTCATACTTTGGACATATTGTCCAGAGGAAACATTCGCTGGAGAAGGATGTCATGCTGGGTAAGGTGGAGGGTCAGAGAAAAAGAGGAAGACCCCCAACGAGATAGATTGGCCAGGTGGCATCATTGATGGACTCAAGTGTGGCAGCGGTAGTGAGGTTGGCCCAGGATCAGACATTGTTTCGTTCTGCTGTGCATGGGGTCGCTATGAGTCAGTTCCGACTCGATGGCACCTGACAACAACAACAACAATATCACCTTGGAGTCCTGTTGTGGTACCAAAGCCCTTTCAATGTATTGTCCATTTTGGAAATCTTAGTATTAAGCTTACTGATTTTTTATTGCAGGTTTTATATCACCTTGGAGTCCTGGTGTGATACCATAGGATAAGCATTCAACCTCAAGGTCAGATTGAACTGCAAAGTTGGCAGTTCAAACTCACCAGCTGCTCCTTGGAAACCCTATACAGGGTTGCTATGAGTTGGAACTGACTTGACAGCTCTTAACATCACCTTGTGCTTCAAATTGAGGTGGGGCTGTCCAGTGCACTTGTTGTTGTCGTTGTTAAGTGCCTTTGAATTACAGCGACCCCATATAGGGTTTCTGAGGAGCGACTGGTGGGTTTGAACTGCCAAACTTACATAGCTTGCAGTTAGCTGATCAGTGCTTATCCTACAGCGCCACCCTAGGACTCCTGTTTAGTGCTAGAGGGAACAAAACTTATGGCAAAGGGAAACTCCTTCTATTTCAGCAACTCACATTTCCCCCTCGATATCCAGTGGCTGATACTCAACATTGCCATAGCATCTACTCTATGTCCTTAAGTGATCTAATACTCTTTTTCAAACAAAGAGGTTTGTTCCCTCAGTAAAACCTTTTTCAACTGGGACTGGAAAGGAATGCAAATCAACCAAGTCCCACGGCACATGAGTAACAACAAAAACTGAAGAGTTAGTCTGAGTATCGTGTATTTTAGAATGATAGATATTAATCCAATTTTTTTGTAGTATTTTTAAAGTTTTTTATTTTATGCACCAGAGTCCATGCATATGAAAATAACTAATGTGCAGTTCTTGTTCGAGATTATTACCTACTAGTATAGAAAAGGAGTTCTGGCGTGGTGCTGTAGGATAAGCACTGGATTACTACCTGCAAAGTCAATGATTGAAACCCATCAACCATTCCTTAGAAACTCTATACAGAGTTACTATGAGTCAGAACCAACACTATGGCACTTAACAACAGCAACAAGTAGAGGAAAGAGACACATAAGAATCAATATTGTAAAGAGCAAAGTTCTGTGGGAAGCATATAGTCAGAAAACACTGACTGGGTGGATGAATTGGTCTAAAGACATAACATTTAAGCTAGTTCTCTAATCTCATTTGCAGCTTGTTTAATCCAAGTGACACTTGAATTGAATGTTTTTACTCATGATGCTTGATTTAATAACAGTTTCACTCTGATGGTCATTTCTGATTCTTAATGAAATCATTAATTATTGTTCACAGTTGTTGTTAAGGGCCGTCAAATCGCTTCTGACCCAGAGTGACCCTATATAGGGTTTCCTAGGAGTGGCTGGTGACTTGAAGCACTGACCTTGCCACTCAAACTAACTTTGCAGTCTAGCGCATTAACCCACTAACTTAAATATATTCGACAGTCTGAGTGATCTTTTATACCAAATAGATCATAAATTTATTGAGGTCAAGAACCACATCATGACTTCTTATTATAATCTGTTTAATATAGTGTTACCCACATAAACCAAAAAAACAAAAACAAAAACAAAACCCACTGATGTCAAGTTGATCCTATAGAGCAGAGTAGGATTTCAAGGGCTATAGCATAAGCACTGGACTGTGAACCAAAAGGTCAGCAGTTCAAACCCAACAACTGCTCCTTGGAAACCCTATACAGGGTTGCTATCAGTCAGAATCAACTCGATCGCATTTAACAATAATGTTTATTAAAAGCAGCTTACTATATATTTTTCCCATGGAGAGTTACCAACTTTGAGTTGCCAGCTAAGCTGTTAACAACTGTATTACCAGGTCTGTTTGTTATATACACATGCAAAACCCAAACCAAATCTATTGCTAAGTCAATTCTGACTTATACTACCATATAGAGAGACAAACTGCCCAGAGTATTTCCAAGGCTGAGATCTTTATAACAGACTAGTATATCTTTCTCCTCCCAAGCTGCTGGTGGAATTAAGCAGCTGACCTTTTGGTTATCAGCCATTGTGTCAGCAGCACTCCTTGTTATACATACGTCTGTTGTTGTTAAGTGCCGTCTAGTTGGATCTGACTCATAGCGTCCCTGTATAGGATTTCCGAGGAGCGGCTGGTGAGTTAGAACCACTGATCTTGCAGTTCAAACTGACCTTACAGTCCAGTTCATTAACCCGCAGCACCACCCCAGGACTCCTTATATACATATGTTGTTGTTGTTGTTAGGTGCCATCAAGTCGGTACCAACTCATAATGACCTTATGCACAGCAGAATGAAACACTGCCTGACCCTGGACCAACCTCACTACTGTTGCCACACTTGAGTCCATCAATGCTGCCACTTGGCCAATCCATCTCATTGGGGGTCTTCCTTTTTTTCTTTGACCCTCCACCTTCCCAAACATGATGTACATATAGTAGACACCAAATAAAGGAATGAGTTATTTACTACCTAATATTGTAGCGTAGTGGTTACGAATCGGGCTGCGAACCTTAAGGTCAGCGGTTCGAAACTACCAGCCGCTCCGTGGGAGAAAGATGAGGCTTTCTACTCCCGTAAGGATTTACACCCTCGGAAACCCTGTACAGGGTCGCTATGGGTCGGAACCGACTCGACCGCACTTAACAACAACAATTGTGAATAGAGCAGAGCATTAATAAATGTTACTAACCTTTCTATTTATTTTTCTATTATTTAGATACAGATTTTCAGCCACCGTCAACTGAGAATTCACCAGCTGGTACAAGCGTTACCCACAGTCCTGCTACGATCAAAAAGTTCTTGAATACAACCAACCAGATCTCACACTTATTAAAATCAATTACAACTCAAGTTAATAACTCCAAGAAGTTTATTTCCAACCATATATCTGGTTTTGAACATGTGGATCATGCTCTCAGTACAATTCTGAATCTGGAAGATGTGGAAGTTTCTGCTGACAACCTCAGTTCTTTAAGCACCAACCCAAACAGCTCTTATGGCAAAGAAAAGGGTATTCAGAGCACCATGCAAACAGAGGCAGGAGAGTATGATTCTCAAGTTCACAGATCTTCCCAAGGCTATCCACAGTCTAAGGAGGGGTTTGAATTATCAGTTACTAGAGCAATCACTATCTCACTGGAAAAGCCTGAATCACCCAAGATACCAACTTGTGCCGATTCACCTTGTTTTCTTGGTATTTCCTGCGTGCAAACCATAAATGGTCACTTCAAATGCGGACTCTGCCCTTTTGGGTTTTACGGAAATGGTGTCAATTGCAAAGGTAGTATAAAAACTCTGGAAGATACAAAGAATATAATATAATTCAAATTTAAGCAAAGTAGAATACATGTTTTTCTGTTTATTCATATATATTTATTCCACAGCCTCCAATATGTACCTCAATGTAAAGAAAACAAAAATCCTCACCACTAGACCAATAAATAACATCATGATAAATGGAGAAAAGACTGAAGTTGTTGAAGACTTCTTTTTGCTTGGATCCACTATAAACAGTCATGGAAAAAGCAGTCAAGAAGTTTGTATTAGGCAAATCTGCTATACAAGAAATCTTTAAAATGTTCAAAAGCAAAGATGTCAGTTTGAGGACTAAGGTGCACCTGACCCAAGTCATGGTATTTTCAATGGCTTCATACTCATGCGAAAGTTGGACAATGAATAAGGGAGACCTAGAACAATTGATGCATTTGAGTTATGATTTTGAAGAAGAGTAGTGAAAAGACTTCCAGAAGAACAAACAAATCTGTGTTGGAAGTACAGTCAGAATGCTTCTTAGAAGCCAGGATGACTAGACTTCATTTCTTATACTGTTGACATATTGTAAGGAGGGGCCAGTCATGCTTGGTAAAGTAGGGGGTCAGTGAAAAAAACGAAGACCCCCAAAGGTATGGATTGGCACAGTGGCAGCAACAATGTGCTCAAGTGTAGTTAATGATTGTGAGGATGACGCAGGACTGGACCAGACAGTGTTTCTTTATGCTGGGCACAGCACTGCTATGGGTCTGAGCTGACTTGGCAGCATTACTTACCAACAATTTATTCCACTTATTTATTTATTTCTAATTACTCCATTTTTTCCTTTATATTCTTTAATATTTTGAATAAAAATAAATGTTTTTTTCTGAGTTAAAAATATTGATAATACTATATAGCATTGCAACTATATAATATATATTATAAATATATTTATTGTGTACCCATTTATTGTATCTGTGGAAACATTCTGTATCAATAATATCATATAATCCACAAAAACCCCAGTTGTTGTTAGGTGCTATTGAGTCCGTTTCTATTCATAGTGACCCCATGTACAACAGCACAAAACACTGCTCGGTCATGTGCCTTTCTAATAATTATTGTTACACTTGTGCCAATCCATCTTGTTGGGGGGATTCTTTTTTTTAACTGACCTTCCACTTTACCAAGCGTGATGTCCTTCTCCAAGGACTAGTTCCTCCAAAGTATGAGAGGTAAAGTCTTGCCATTTTGGCTTCTAAGGAGCATTCTGGCTGTATTTCTCCCAACACAGATTTTCTTGTTCTTCTGACAGGCCATGGTACTTTCAATATTGTTCTCCAACATCATAACTCAACTGCATCAATTCTTCTATGACCTTCCTTATTCATTGTCCAACTTTCACATGGATGTGAGGCAATTGAAAAATACCATGATTTGTGTCAGGCTTATCTTAGTCCTCAAATGTATGTCTTTACCCTTGAACATTTTAAAGAGCTCTTATGCCTAGTGTAATATGTCATTTGGTTTCTTGACTGCTGCTTCCATGAGTGTTGGTTGTGTATCAAAGCAAAATGAAATCTTTGACAACTTCAATCTTTTCTCCATTTAATTTATCATCATGTTATTTATTTGTCCAGTGGCCAGAGTATTTGTGTTCTTTATGTTCAGGTGCAATCAATACTGAAGCCTGTGGTCTTTGGTCCTCATTATTGAGTATTTTAAGTCCTCTTTGCTTTCAGCAAGCAAGTTGTTTTATCTGCATATTTCAGGTTGTTGGAGTCTTCCTCCAAACCTGATGCCACATTCTTCTTCATATAATCCAGCTTCTCAGATTATTTGCTCAGCAGGAAGAGTAACTATTGCTAAAGGATACATTCCTGGAGCACACCTTCACTGATTTTAAAACTTTTGGTGTCGCCTCATTCTGTTCCATTGGCTACCTCTATGTACAGGTTACTTATGAGCATGATCAAGTGTTCTGGAATACCCATTCTTCACAATGTTTTCCATAGCTTGTCATGATGCATACAGTCAAAAGTCTTTACATAGTTAATAAAGCACACACACAAAAACCCATCTTTCTGGTATTCTCTGCCTTTAGCCAGGATTCATCTGATATCAGTAACAATATTCTTAGTTCCATGAACTTTTCTAAATCTGGCTTGAGTTTGTGTCAGTTACCTGTTGGTATACAGTTGAAGCTGTTATTTAATTATTGTCCACAAGATTTTACTTGCATGTGACATTAATGATATTGTTCAATGATTTCTGTATCCTTCTGAGTTACCTTTCTTTAGAATGGGCACACATACAGATCTCTTCCAAATTTCTTAGCATTGATGAGTAAGCACCTCTATGATTGCAACAGTTTGTTGAAAGATTTTAATTTATATTCTATAACTTCCTGAAGCTTTGATTTTAGCTAATATCTTCAGTCAATGTAGCTTGGACTTCTTCCTTCTACTTCCATTGATTATTTATCATTTACTAGCTCTTGAAATGGTTGAACATTGACTTTTTTTTTTTTTTTTGTACAGTGACTCTTTGTATTCCTTCTATCTTCTTTGATGCTTTCTGCATCATTCAGTATTTTGCCCCTGAGTCCTTCATTATTTCAAATCAAGACTCCACTTTTTCCTGCAGTTCTTTCAGCTTAGGAAATACTGAGCATGTTTTTCGCTTTTGGTTTTCTAACTCAGTCTGCATATTTCATTACAATACTTGACTTTGTCTTCTTGAGCTGCCCTGTGAAATTTTTTGTTCAGATCTTTGACTTCCTCATTTCTTCCATTTACTCTATACTAAATCAAGTTTCAGAATCTTCTGACATCTATTTTGGTCTTTTCTTTTGTTCCTGTCCTTTTAATGACCTTTTACTTTCTTTTTGTATTATGTTCTTGATGTCATCCTACAGCTCTTCTGGTCTTTGGTCATTAGTGTCTAATGCAACAAATTCAAGCGGAATATGTTCAAGGACATATTTTATCTCTTGTAGATTTCTTTTAACTTTCTTCACCTTCTGTCTGAAATTGCATATGAGCAGTTGATGTTCTTTCCACAGTTGGCCCCTGACCTTATTTTGGCTAATGATACTGAGATTTTCCACTGTCTCTTCCTACAGATGTATTCAATTTGATTCATGTGTATTCTATCTGGTGAGGTCCATGTGCACAGTCACCTTTTATGTTGTTTAACTACTGACCCTTCCTCTTTTCAGCTTTCACTTTCCAATCGCCACTAATTATCAACACATCTTTATTGTATGTTTAATCAATTTCAAACTGAAGAAATTGGTAGAATTCTTCAATTTCATCATCACAGACTTTTGTGGTTGGTGCTTAAATTTGAATAATAGTGATATATACTGGTCTTCCTTATAGGTGTATGGATATTATCCTATCACAGATAGTGCTGTACTTCAAGATAGATCTTGAAATGTTCATTTTGATGGTGAATGCCATTCTTTTGAATTTGTCTTTTCCAGCATAGCAAACCATATGATTGTCTGATTCAAAATACCAGTTCATTTCAACTCACTAATGCCAAGGATATTGATCTTTATGTGTTCCACTGCACTTTTGACAATGCCCTGTTTTCCTAGGTTCATACTTCATGCATTCCATGATCTGATTATTAATGGATGTTTGTAGCTGTCGCTCCTCATTTTGAGTTGCGCCATATCAGCAAATGAAGGTGCAGAAAGCTGTACTCCAGTCACATCATCACTGTTAACTCTGCTTTGAAGAGACAGCTCAGGTTAAAAGGCACTCAAATTACTATTGGGGAAGAGCTGCCTCTTCAAAATAGAGTTAACAGTGTTGATGCGAATGGCAAAGTATCTGACAATGTTCTTCAGCTATTCATAAGGTTTCCAGTGGCTAAACCTTATGAATAGCTGAAGTCCGTCTCTCTTTCTCCCTTGTCTGTCTAAATCTGTAAGTTCTGCTGAATTATGTCCAGCATCGGTGACCCTTCTGATATTTAAATTACTGGTGGCATAATTGCAACATCACAACAATATGCAAGTCACCACAGTATGACAAACTGTCAGAGGAGTGGTAGTATCTTTCCCACTTTACAGATGAGGAAGCAGAACTTTGGGGGACTAATTGACTTGTCTAACACTAAAGAACCTAAGGTCTGATAAACATTGTGGTTTGGATTTTTTTCCAACTAACGTCATTTGCCACTTTAAATGACTAATTCTGGTATATTTGTGTCTTTGCCTAAACTAGGTTTCTTGTCATTTTTATGGGAGTAAAAGAAGTACGTGACTTTAATTTTTAAAGGAATGTTTATACCTTTCCTCAATCATCAGTAGTTTTTATCTGATGCAAATAAAATCTTTGTCAGTGACAATGTAGAAATTATTTTTTGTGTTATTGTTTTCTTTTGGCTTGTTTGAAACCCTATTTAAGCAAGAGAGCTGTTGGAGAACCCCTTTTGTTCTTAGTGTAACTTAGAGAAACTTGTTTTTCTCTTTTCTGTTAGAAGAATAATAATAATAACTTAATGTTTAAAATAGAAAATTACTTTCTACTTAGGAATAAAAACAAAAGGATCTCATGCATTTTAGCCACTTAAGAAAGTGTTAAGTGCTAAATACCTAGAAGATGACCAGGCAGTATTCTAATGCAAATTTAAGCATGCAATGTAGTCCTGACACCTTGATCTTGAAATTATGATTATCCATTTGATGAGGATCTGAAACTTATGCATTGCCCCTGACAAAGAAATAGCCAATTATAATTAGCAATCAATACTAATCAGGTTCTGCTGTAGGAGTAATTTGTTGTTGTTGTTCACTGCAGTTAAGTCTGTTCCTATTCATAGCTTCTCTATATAGGGTTTCCTAGGAGCCACTGGTGGGCTTGAACTACCTACCTTCTGGTTCGCAGTTCAGTGCTGATCTTACAAAGCCACATGAGGAGTTCATAGGATTAAATAGTACCTATGAAACTTCTCCTTGGAGGCCAAGATGGCTAAACTTTTTCTCTTATACTTCAAACATATTGTCAGGAGGGACCAGTAACTGGAGAAGGTGGAGGGTCAGAGAAAAAGAAGAAGACCCCCAACAAGATGGATTGGCCAAGTGGCAGCATCAATGGACTCAAGTGTGGCAACAGTAGTGAGGTTGGCCCAGGATCGGGCATTGTTTCGTTCTGCTGTGCATAGGGTCGCTATGGGTTGGTATCGACTCAATGACACCTAACAACAACAACAACATAAAACTCCTATTTAATCCTTTGTGTCCTGTAATCATTATAGTAGTAAAATAAATATTGGGGAAAATAATGTTACAAGTAAATGTAGTAACTTTTATTTAATAACAATATTAATATTCTCAAATTCATATAACTTTACTTTTACCATAACTGAATCTATAGCAATGTGTGTACTATCTTGATATCTTTTTTCCTTGACTTTTACAGCCATTTGTAGACACCCATGTGGAAAAAACAGGGACTGTGTTGCCCCAAATATATGCAAATGTAAACCTGGTTACACTGGTTCTAACTGCCAAACTGGTAGGTACAACTCTCATTAATTTGCATAATGAATTCGAGTTGACAATCAGTGTTCTAAAACATTGAATTTATTTTATACAGCTGTATGCCACCCTGAATGTAAAAATTATGGAAAATGTGTTAAGCCTAACATTTGTGAATGTCCTCTAGGACACAGTGGAGCAACCTGTGAGAAAGGTGACCAAATAAATTTAAAATTAAGTAATATAACCAAAATAAAGTACTTAATTAAAAAAATGTTTTCTAAAGACAATTCAGTTTACTGTGTATATGATTTATTGTTGTTAAGTGCTATCGAGTGGGTTCCAATTCATAGTGAGCCATTCTAAGGAGCAGGCTAGTGGGTTTGAACCGCTGACTTTCTAGATATCAGTCGTGTGCTTGTCCTAGAGAATCACACAGTGACCCTCTATAGGGTTTCTGAGGCTGTAAATCTTTACGGGAGCAAAAAGCCTCACCTTTCTCCTGCGGAATGAACTGCTGACCTGGAGGTTAACAGCCCAGCTCATAATCCGCTACACTACCAGCGTTCCTTTGTGTATACTTATATGCATTCATTAATGTTGGAGAGGAACTATGAGTTTCACAACTGCTTGTTAAAAGTAATTTTATTTGTAGATTTTAAAAACTTAATGTTTCCCAAATCAAAGCTTGTACAAGCAGAAACTTTTTTTTTTTGTATTTGGCAAAGTTATCTCCTGTAATCATTTCTTGAGAATTAGTAGTTGAATGTTCTTAGGTACTATCAACTTGTGCTGACTCTTAGCCACCTATGCCCAGCAGAACGAAACACTTCCTGATCCTGTGCCATCCTCACAGTTGTTATGTTTGAGTCCATTGTTGCTGCCACTGTGTCAACTCGTCTCATTGGGGGTCTTCTTCCTCTTTGTCAACCTTCAACTCTAGTAATCATGATGCACTTCTCCAGGGACTGGTCACTCCTGATAACATGTCCAAAGTAAGGATCATTCTGGCTGTACTTCTTCCAAGACAGATTTGTTTATTCTTCTGGTAGTCTGTGGTAGTTTCTATATTCTTCACCAACAACATAATTCAAATGCATTGTTTCTTCTATGGTCTTCCTTATTTATTGTCCAACTTTCACATGCATATGAAGCTATTGAAAATACCCTACCTTGAGTCAAGCACATTTTATTCCTCAAAGTGACTTCTTTGCTCTTAACACCTTAAAGAGTTCTTTTGCAGCAGATTTCTTGATTGCTGCTTCCATGAGTGTTGATTGTGGATCCAAGCAAGATGCAGTCTTTGACAACTTCAATTTATCCTCTATTTGTCATGATGTTATTTATTCCTCCAGTTGAGAGGATTTTCATTTTCTTTACACTGAGATGCAATCCATACTGATCTCATCATTTGCGCTCACAAGAATAAATGTCAAGTTTTTGTTTGTGTTTTATTCCTCTCCCTCCCTGAGTCCAGAGTCCCCAGTTGCTCCATCTCTCCATGTCATCGTCTCTGCCTCCATTTATGGCATCACTGTTTCTCTGAGTAGGGTCCCACATTCTGCTCTTCTCACTTGATGGTTCCAGGGATCTCTGCTCCTGGACTCCAAAAGCAACCACTCACCTCCTTTTGTTACAAAACATTTACCTTTACATTTCTGACCCTCACAGTCAGTTCTGATAGAAATTATTCACTATTGTACCACAATAGTGCCATCCCCATCTCCTTTCATCAGCCTCGTCCCAACAGATTGGAAACTACTCCGTGGAGATTCTACCTTCCCCCTCTGGAACCAGGCTCCCTCTTGAAAGTTTGTAAGACAGTCACTTCTTGCCTCTGTAGCCCACCCATTTTGGGTAGCCAATGTCTAAGTTGCCCATCCCTGTCAAACCTGTGTACTGAAGGGTTAGGAATGAGCCTCGCTGTAAAGATTTGTTCCCTCTTTTGAGCTACTACATCCATAAGTATAGGTCAAGTTCATCAAATTGTAGTGGATTACTTTCCACCCTCTTTCTTCTTCTAATAGAGTTCTGATCATCCAGCCATTGAATCAGGTCAAGTGGGTACTCTCTGCAAGTATGGGTGTTCTTGTGCATCTCCCTTCACTTCATATCAGCCAGATGCTTCACTCTCCACTCTAGTCCTCTGTGGCCATGTCACTGTCTCTAGGCCCAGGAGTCCCCTAGCCTTGCCATACTGCTGGCCAATGAGGTCTCAACCTGGGTTAACAGGAGTCTATTGAATGAGGATGGACTTAGCTCACAACTTCATTGCTGTTTTTCCCCCACTTCCCCTTATCGGTGACCAACGTAGTCACCAGCCAGACCACATGCCAGGTCATGTATTCCCCTTAAGTCTTAGTCTTGGAAGGGGGTTGCTCTGAGGGGACCTGACTACTTGCCTTGATGGCTCCTGGGTGAACAGCTTGCTTGTTCTTGTAGTAAATCAGACTACCATTATTGTTTTTTTTATTTTTCCTGCCAGTCTTTCTTTCACAAAATATCTTCTGTTCTTCTATCCGATCCAGGCTGGTCTACTTGTCCTTTCAAGTGGAAATTTCCCACCTCAGAAGAGGGAATAGGGTTCAGGATTCCACCTATGGTCTTATGCAATGCAAAGGCTCTGTAGGAAGCCTCCTTCACTGGGCAAGTTCTAGCCCCTTTAAGGTATTCCTATCAGTTATAGGCTGAAGACCTTCAATCTTCTTGTGATGCTTTCTGCATCACTGAATGTTTTGTCCATATAATTCTTCAGTGTTAATCCTGCATCATTCAATACTTGCCCATAGCATCCTTCAAAATCTAATTATAAGCTGCCAATTCACTTCTATAAATAGGTTAGCATTAAGCAAAGGATACCTAATTATTGATTGACTTATCAAATATATCATTCCAATGAAATGCTAATTGCCAAACCATAGACATCAGGTAATTAGAAGAAATTAAAAATGTGATCTTCTAAGTATGCTACAGCCTGATAATATCATTGCTTTGTTTCAAATATAGAATAGAGAATGTTTAAAATGGCATATCTAAAATGGATGATGTTTTAAAGAAAAAATTTGCTGCTAATTTTTAGACTAATATTTTAAAAGAATATACTTTGGTAAGGAGGTCTGGTATGGCACTGTAAGATGAGAACTGAATTGCCAGCTGCAAGCTAACTGCAAAGTTGGTGGTTCAAGTCCACCAGCTGCTCCTCAGAAATCTTATATGAGGTCACTGTGAGTCAGAATCCACTCGTCTGTACTTTACACTAACAATAACATGCTTTGGTAGATGATTGATACAGTTGCTAATAAACCATGAGTGACGTTACATACTTAGGACTGCCCCATTGGCTTTCTAAGGCTGTAAATTTTTACAGAAACAGACTGCCACATATTTGTTCTGTGGAGAAATTGAGTTTGAATTGTTAACTTTTTGCTTAGTAGCTGAGCACTTAGCCACTGCTTCATCGGGCTTCTTTCATAGGGTGGTGGTGGTGGTGGCGATGTGCCGTGGAGTTGGTTCCGAGTCATAGCGACCCTATACAGGGTTTCTGAGGCTGTAAATCTTTACAGGAGCAGAAAACCTCATCTTTCTCCCACGTAACAGCTGGTAGTTTTGAACTGCTGACCTTAAGATTCACAGCCTGATTTGTAATCACTACGCTACCTGAGCTCCTTTTTCATGGGGTAAGGATGCATAAGTCCAAGTCTCACTTTTTAAAAGAAACTTAAGGTCATGCATATATCAAGTTAAGCAAAAGTTTTTAAAACCAAAGCATGCTGTGTATATATAGTCAGTATTGCAGAGCTGAACTTCACAGTAAGAGGGGCACTCTCATTATAAATTGCCCTTAATTGTGCCTGTGCATCATAATTACAAACTCACATCTTTTACTAAGAACTGACTTAATAACATAATCTGTGTCTACAGAACATTGCAACCCACCGTGTCGACATGGTGGCACATGCCTGGCTGGCAATCTCTGCACTTGTCCTTATGGTTTTGTAGGACCAAGGTGTGAAACCAGTAAGTAAAGCTCTCTTGTAATCTATTATCATGATATTGCTTCTTTGACTCAATGATGGCTAACATTAAGTGAGATGCAAACCTTAAGTAAAAAACATATATTTGTAGTTGATTACCATTGCTATTACCATCCAGAACATCACTAAGAACAACCACAAGTGAGCATTACTAAGATTAAGAAGTTTGTTCTTTGAATAGCAGGAATTACCATTTGTTATTTGCATATCAATCTATCTTATTTAATTCACATTTATGACTACTTTCATCAGCAACTAAAAATTTTCCCTTAATAGCCACACTTATTTACTGTTCAGTTCATTCTCCTTTTCCCATTTCTATTAGAATAATAATAATCATTGGGATACTCAAGCTCAAATTCAAAGCCAAAATATAAATTATGCTTTATTTTTCTTTCTGATACGATTCATTAGCAGACGTGATTGGTAGTTATACACTGGGTAGGTAATAGCTAACAATATTACCATTCCAAGTCTTATTATCTTTCCTTTATTCTTATTTTTTATCTTAGTGGTTTGTAATAGGCACTGTGAAAATGGAGGTGAATGTATTACACCAGATGTTTGCCAGTGCAAGCCTGGATGGCATGGACCCACCTGTAGTACAGGTAAAAAAATCAGAAATGTTGTCAATGAACATATCTGTCTTAGACTGGGCTTTCTAGAGTGTCAGGTCCTCAGTGGAAGAGAGAGAGCTTTAACTATGTGTCCATTAGAGTGGGATCAGCACACCCCCCCAAGGAAACATCCTTTCAATTGATTGGCTGCTCATAGCCAATCATCATACAGTTAACTATGCTTGTACTAGATTTCAACCCCATGAGAATAACCACATCTTACCTGATAAACCATTGGGAATCCTGGCCTAGTCAAGTTGACACAGAACCTAACTATTACAATGTCTATTAAAATAAACTTGAAATGTAGCAATGTCCTACCTGGCAAGAGTGGTATAAAGTTGTTATTTCAGATGGATTTTTTTAAAGCATCCAGTTGCTGTTGAGTTGATCACTCATTGTGATCCTTTATATATCAGAGTAGAAGTAAGTTCTACAGGGTTCTCAACCGCTGAGTTGTTTGGAAACAGATGGCTTTCTGAGGTGACTCTGTGTGAACTCGTAACTTCCAACTTTTCAGTTACTTAACTATTTACAATATCCAAGAACTTCAGGTTTTTAAAAGTCCTAACTCTAATCCACATTCTTCATTCTTATATTAGACTGCACATTGTCTGCTCCACTATAATCCAATCCCACTCCACCAACCCACCACCCCCTTTTTTTTTAGACTTTATAGTTCTCTCATACCTGCCTGCCTTATGGTGGAGAGAAACATCTTTTTTTTTTTTTTTTTTTTGTAGTTGAAAAAGGAAGATTTTTCTAATAATTTTATTTTGTTGAGAACCTACACAGTAAAACACACTTCATTAGTTTACAATTTAGTGTTACTGTTGGCATTCTTTGAAATGTACAACCTTTTTCACCATCCTTGAGAAATAGATCTTTGATGCACCTACTATGTTAAGCTTTTTGACCACAGTACACATTAGGAGCAAGGATGGTACTGTATGATAAGCACTGAACTGCTAACTACAAGGTCAGCCATTCAAACCTGCCAGTCACTCCCCAGGAGCAAGATGACACTTTCTACTCCTGTAAATATTTGCAGCCACAGAAACCTGATGCAAGGTCACTATGAGTCCTAACTGACTCTGTAGCACCTAACAGCAGCAGTAACAACAATTAACAATGCATATATTTGCCACTGAATATACAAGCAATTCTGAATGAAGTAGACACTCATCATATTACCGCTAGTATAACTCCATTTATTTATCAATTTCAGGTTTGCTTGTTTGGCTGCAGTGTTTGTACTTATCCATACACCTTGGGAATTTTTCAGTGTCACTCAAGTGAATATTAATGATTACCAACTATGTGTAAGGCACGAAGTAAAAGTAGAGGCTAAGGTCAATATAGGAGTACTGGTGTGGTGCTGTGTAATAATTCCTTGGACTGTAAGGTTGGTTTGAACTGCAAGGTCGGTGGTTCAAGCTTACCAGCCACTCCTTGGAAGCATACAGGGTCGCTATGAGACACTTTACAACAACAGCAAAGTCAATATAATTTCAAGGATAATTATTAATGAAGGAGACGCGGATTACATTTATAAAAAATGACTGTGCTATCAGTTCAGCTGTGATGCAGTTGTTATTTTTGCTAAGTACTATTGAGTCAGTTTTGACACACTGTGACCTGTGTTTGGGTTTTCGAGGCTGTACAATTTTTCGGAGCAGAAGGCCTCGTTTTCCTTCAGCAGAGCGATACCACTGACTGTTTTTATCTAAGGTGCCACCAGCACTCCTGGGTTAGGAAATAGCATAATTGGTGCATCGTTCCTTGGAAGCAGAGAATAAACTAATTCCAGCAAATGAAGTTTGTAAGAAAACAGTGTCTAAGGAAGTATTCGGAGAAAGAGTAAACTCTAGGTTGGAAAATGGGATTGGGGATGCTTTTCTAAGTGGGCCAAAGGAAAAGAATTAAAAACAGAGAGTGTTATTTTTTGAATGTGCTAGGACTTGCCTACAGTGTTATTGTGTGAATGGAGGGTGACTTAGTGAGTTAAACAGTTAAACATGGTCAAACGCATTTGAGCAATTAGCCACCATCCAGTGGCTGCTGTTGAATTGTGTGTTTTGTTGTTGTTGTTTTTTTACTTCTTATCGTTTCTTCACTTTATCAAGCCCATTCTGAATTCTAATCATAGCCTCTACATCCCTTGCTATTATTTTTAAACTTAATGAACATACATTCAACACTATTACCCAGTTATTTCATAGCTCTTCTTTTATGTTTGACAAAGTCTAATTAATTATAGGTTATGGGTTTTGCTTGCAGTAAAAATGAAATATTTCATTATGCACAGTTTTGTACTTCTGTGCAGTTGTCTTTTTCAATAATAAAACTTTTATGGTCTGTTTCTCTCCTGCTGTTCATTAGCTTTGTGTGACCCTGTTTGCCTCAATGGCGGATCCTGTAATAAACCAAACACTTGCCTCTGTCCAAATGGATTCTTTGGTGCACAGTGTCAGAATGGTAATTATCATTTCTTTATAAATGTCAAAGGGAAAGTTATTCATACATAGAGCTTTGAGTTAACTCTATGAAATAATCTTCTAAGGGGAAGATGCTATTTATTTCAGTGCTGAATTTCCTCAGAAGTTGCAGGTTTGGCCACTAAATGATATTTTATATAAATATATCAATGTTATTATATAAAAAGGTTAACTTTCCCAAACACATGCTTGACTTGCAACCTTGTCACTTGACTGTATGGTTTTCTAGGTGTGAGAAAAAAAGCAGTTCTCTTGCAGTCTATTATAATTCAATAGCATCATTTTTGCTGCCTTCACAGCAAAAAAATAGTTGATTTATGGTCAATCTAATACCCACTACTATCCTATGATCTCCTGAATTTAGTTTCATTAAATATTTATGAAGAGCTAACGATGCACAACAATATGCAAGGTGATATGGGAAATAAAGATCCATCATGTTCCCCCTTCCTGACTTGCTATTTGTGACCCCTTCCATAATATAATTAACGTTGTAGCTTCCATCAGAATAATGGTAGTGCTCTGAGGCTGACAGGGCAGACATGAATTAATGTCAATAGATGATATTTAAAATGCGCTTTCTACATCTTCATACTTATTGAATTTTGACAAAATGCAGAGTCGGTATTTTATGTAGAACATGACACAATTTATAAAATCTACACTTTTTTTTTAACCATGTCATACTTTAATATACAATCCTCCCCCCTCCCCCCTTTTTTTGTGGTTTGTAGTTTTGCTAGTGTTCTCAGGATAATGTTGAGGCAGAAAAGAAACCATCACTGTAAGATAAAATAGAGAGAAATAGAAAATGAGTTCCTCTTCCTCTAATTCAGATGTCTTAAAGATAATATTTTGAGCAATGAAAAGAAGTAAAGATTAAGTTACCACATATCTTGAAAATGAAAAGACTCTGACTAAACCCATGCCAAAGTGTTACAGATGTCACTGTGAGTGGAGAATGTAAGAAGGGAAACAGAGAAGCTTACGCTTCTTCTGCTTCTCGTGGTGGTAGCAATTGGTGGTTATGTGCTGTGGAGTTGGTTTTGATTCATAGTGACCCTGTGTAGGTTTTCCGAAGCTGTAAATCTTTAGGGGAACAGAAAGCCTTATCTTTCTCCAGCAAAGTGGCTGATGATTTGAACTGCTGACCTTGTGGTTAGCATGACTCATAACTCACTACGCTACCACAGTTTCTTACTATTTTCAGTAGATTGAAACTATAGTGAGAAAAACTCTTTTTTCAAAACTTATATGCCAACCTATATAACTGGATAAAGAGTCCTTGTGTGGTGCTGTAAGATAAGCACTGGACTGCTAACCACAAGGTCGGCAGTTCAAACCCACCAGCCGCTCCTTGGAAACCATATTCATGGTTCTTGTGAGTCAGCACTGAGTTGATGGCATGTAACAACAGCAGAAACATAACTGGGTAAAGGAAGACATACCTAATTTATTAAATTGAATTCAAAATTATCTGTTGAATGTAGAGCCTTGTAATTAGAGCTTTGGAAACAGCTTGTTGTAATGCATGAAAGCAGGTTTGGGAATTAGCTAGCCTCTACAAGTAACAGGCACGAGCTATAGAAATTTCCTTACACATTTTAAGCCTCAGACTTAGTTTGACCTAGATGGTGGAGTCCTGGTGTGGTGCTCTGGTCTAATGCATCAGACTGCAAAGTTGTTTGAACTGCAAGGTTGGTGGTTCAAGCTCACCAGCTGCTTCTTGGAAACTCTATACAGGATCACTATGGGTAGGAATCGACTCAACAGCACTTAACAACAACTACAACAGATATTTGTAAACTGGACATCCAGTGGCCTACTGGAACCTACAGTGGAAAACTAGCACATAGACAATCACCATAAGTCATTTTATTATTTTCATTAAGACATGATATGGAAGATGCAGGAATAAAACACGAACAAAAACTTGACATTTATTCTTGTTAGGACAGCTGGTGAGAAGGGAACTGGCATGTATGCATCTAAAGCAATTGAATAAAATCAGGTAGAATATTGCTAAAAACAAAAATGAAGAGCATATATTGGGTGTGGAGTTCTGGTGTGGCACTATAGGATAAGCACTGGATTGCTAACCACAAGGATGGTGTCTCAAACCCATCAATCCCTCCTCAGAAAGCCTTTACAGGGTTTCTATGAGTCAAAATCGACTGTCTGAAACTTAGTAACAATATACTGTGTGTGCTATTGAATTTCAAAGGAAAAAGAGGAATTGTTATAGAAACATCAGAAATGAGCTTGTCAATTTTATTAATGAGGAAGGTTAAAAAATGTATGGCTGGAGAGATGTTTAAATATACCTCCCATTTTTCTTACTCTCTATAATGCCATGCGCCCATTCCATATGAAGAGTGAGTGCGAATTACTTGACTTACTTTGGGGTTTGGTAGGAGATTAGTCTGTGTCCTAACATGCCCAAAGCAAATGTGTGAGGGTAGATTTCCACATAAAGCTTCTTTTCCAAAAATTTATTTGTGGTGTGCATGACCAAGTTTAAGATTTATGTCTTTTTTCAAATGTTTTTTTCCCAATTTTTATGTATTGTTATATTAATGTGGTATTTATCACTATAATCAAGTCTTTGTGAATATTTATCAATTTTAGCAAGTCTTCTAAAGATTTCTTTTTTTTTTTTTTTTAACATTTATGATCATTGGCATTCCCCTCAAGTTATTTTGAAATTTAAATAATTGATTTTCCCTATAAATACAAATAATCTTAAATTAGAGGAAATGGAGGTACATGTCTACATTAATAAAAAGTCCTAGTATCATATCATGTGAGCAAAAGTGGACTCCAGCTTTAGTCTGAAAAGATTCCGTCTAAAAGGGTAGAAACTATTCACTCACTAAAAGCATTCAGTTATATTGTTTTGTAGCTAGGATAATTTTTCATTTTCATTGATAAATTGCTTTGACACTGGAGGAATTTTCCTTACTGTGTTTGGAAATAAAGAAAGCAGGTATGCAAATTAGGAATCAGCCTCCATCAACACTATAACCAAAATTAGTTTTAACATACATTAGTAAAAGACTAAACTAATTCTTAAACCTGAGTAGTACCTAAGATTTCAGAAAGTTATTAACCCATTATGTTAGTATTTAGGAATAGATTTTTAAAACTCCAAAAACTCAAGGACAGGTTGCCTGGATATTATTTTACAAACGTTTCACTTCCATATTTGAAAGAGATATGAAGCAATACTAGTCATTTAATAAAAGATGATAAATACCAGCTTCTGAATTCCACAGAACAGAATTATATGCACAGACGACTCTAGTAAAAAAGTATTCAAGGTTATCCAATGACTTATTCCTAACAGAAGGAGCTCTGGTAGCATAGTGATTAAGAGTTGGGATGCTAACCTCAAGGTCAGCAGTTTTAAACTATCAGTCGCTTTGTGGGAGAAAGATGAGACTTTCTGATCCCATAAAAATTTACAGCCTCAGAAACCCTACACAGGGTGCCTAAGAGTCAGAACCAACTCCACAGCACACAACCAACCAACCAACCAACCATTCCTAACAAAACCAGGGCTTTATTGTTGAGGTTTGTACCAAGCCTTCATAGGAATAAGTTACATATAAAACTCTACCTTCATTACCTCAGTAGGCATTCAAAAGTTTATTTTAAAATATTTTAAAATTATTACATGATGTTGTTGTTATGTGCTGTGGCGTTCGTTCCAACTCATAGCGACCCCGTACAGGGTTTCTGAGGCTATAAATCTTTACGGGAGCAGAAAACCTCATCTTTCTCCTGTGGAACAGCTGGTAGTTTCCAACTGCTGACCTTGAGGTCAGCAGCTCGATTTGTAACCACTACGCTACCAAAGCGCCTTGATAGGTTGTTGAAATTCTTCTAATTTCCATGAAGACATTTATTCTTTTATTTTGAGCTAGGTTCAGACTTATTTTCTATGGTTTGCCCAGATCATTGCATTCTTTAATTCAAAGTATAGTGGAACCGAGGTTAAATTTCACAATACATGCACTATAATACCAAAGACTCCATTTGTTATAGACATTTCAGCAATACATTTCAACTTGCGCTAACCCACTAGCAGGTTATAGCTACAAGCATTGGATTTTATGATTTAGAAAGGACCGTTTTAATGACTTGCAGTTGTGATCTTTTATTTTAATAGCACATCCCTCTGCCTTATGGCCTTATAGATAACAAGTACACGATGCTACATAGAGTACATAGTAATTGAATATGCAGTGTTCACAGATTGCTGCCTTGTACCCTTTCAGCTATCTGTCAGCCTCCCTGTAAGAATGGTGGCCACTGCGTGAGAAATAATGTGTGCACCTGTCGTGAAGGATATGCTGGCAGGAGGTGCCAAAACAGTAAGAAACTCCTACATGTATTTGCCAAATACAGGTAAAGCATTCCCAAAACAGTTTCTATAACCCACTAGCATGTGTGGTGGTGCTGTGGATCAGCACTGGACTGTGGATCACAAGGTCAGCAGTTCACGCTCACCAGCTACTCCTCAGAAACCATATACAGGGTCCTTATGAGTAAGAACCGACTCAACAGCACTTAACACCATGGAGTCAATTGTGACTAATGATTATATAGGACAGTGTAGAACTGCTCTATAGGGTTTCTGAAACTATAAATTTTTATGGGAGGAGACACCTTCATCTTTCTCTCATAGAGCAGCTGGTAGATTTGAATCACCAACCTTACAATCAGAAGCCCAGTGCCTAACGCACTGCACCACGAGGGCTCCTAGGTTTCTATGTTTTGTTGTTAGGCATTGTCAAGTAGGTTCTGACTCACAGTGACCCTATTACAACAGCACTAAATGCTGCCTGGCTCTGAGTCATCCTCATGATTGCTATATTTATATCCATTGTTGCAACCACTTTGTTAGTCCCTTGGGCTGAGGGGTCTTCCTCTCTTTCATTGACCCGCTACCCTTTTCCAGGGATTTGTTCCTCCTGGTAACATGTCCAAAATATGTGAGATGAAGTCTCACTATCTTTATTGTTAAGGAATATTCTGGCTGTACTTTTTCCAGGACAAATTTGTTTGTTCTTCTGGCAGTCCATGGTAATTTCAATAATATTTACCAACACCATAATTCAAATGCATCGATTCCTTAGTCATGGTTCAGTTTTCACATACATCTGAGGAGACTGAAAATACCATGACTTGGGTTATACTCACCTTAACCTATATAAGGACTAATATTTCATGCTTTTATCTTAAGGCATCTGTGATCCTATATGCATGAATGGAGGAAAATGTATGGGACCAAACATTTGCTCGTGTCCTTCTGGATGGAAAGGGAAACGATGCAACACCCGTAAGAGGAATGCTCTTAAATGCTAAATCATCCTTCGTGAGAACATAAGGGATTTAAAGCAAAGAACATTTTCCTGTTTTTTGTTTGTTCATTTTTGTTTGTGCTTATTTATTTGCTCATGTTTTAGAGATATAATTTTAAACTAGAAAGAGTAAAATGCCAAGCCCTATGAACTCATTCTTTCAGAATAGCAGAAGAAAAAACAAATTCCCTTCTATGATATTATTATCTGAAATCAGCAACTACTATAGTGTATTTGTGGAAATTAAAAATGGAAAGCAACAGAAACTTTCAAAAGTTGGGGATAAGTTGAATCATAATGCATGTAAATAATGGAATACTATATAAACATTAAATTACATTTTCTAAGAATGTGTAATGCCATTGGAAAATATTCTTGATAAAACACTAAGGGAGAAGATCCTTGAATCATTTGACTTTTAACCATCACCTCAGTTTTCTTTCTTTCACTTTTGTTTGTAGTAGAATTAGACTAATAGCTAAATTTCCAACTTGTTTATATTTGCAGCTATCTGCTTTCAGAAATGTCAAAATGGTGGTGAATGTATTGCTCCAAACCTGTGCCATTGTCCTGCCACCTGGGAAGGAATGCAGTGCCAAATACGTAAGCTTACAGGATTTGTTTCTAATAAACATTACAGAGTCCTGGTGTGGTGCCATAGGATAAGCACTGGATTGCTAACCATAAGTCAGAGGTTCAAACCCACAAACCACTCCTTAGGAACTCCTTAGGAACGCAATACAGTCGGAACCTATTTCTGGCACTTAACAACAAACACTGTCAACCTGTATCTGCAAACATTTTTAAAGTTTGGTTTTAGAAACAAAAAATCTTAGTCTATTTAATGTCCATTTAAAAGAAGACAATCTGGTATGATATATAAATATTCTGTGTGTCATAAACCAAAATCAAGCCCGCTGCCATTGATTGGATTTCAAATCATAGTAACCTTAGAGGATAGAGTAGAACCGTTCCATAGGATTTCCAAGGCTGTCCAGGAGCAAACTGTTTCATCTTTCTCCCACAGAAATGGGTTTGAACGGCAGACCTCGTGGTTAGCTATCCAGTGCTTATCCTGTAACTCCACACAAGGATAGTGCCACAAATTGTTGTTGTTAAGTACCATCGAGTCGATTCTGACCCATAGCAACCCTGTATAGGATTTCCAAGGAGCGACTGGTGAGCTTGAACCGCCGACCTTGAGATTCACACGACTTTGTAGTCTGGTGCATTAACCCACAGCGCCACACCAGGACTCTGGTCTTTTTGTCACCAAAGAAGTTCTCTCTGGTGAATCAAGGAAGGTTTTAACATACAGTGAAAAATTTTCGTCACAATGTAGGATAAATACATTTCCTTTTGGGAAACATTAGAAAATATAAAAAAAGAAAATTAGTCCCTCAAAATTCTAACACCCAGAACTGATTTGGGGAACTAATTCAGTATTTTAATATATTTCTATATAATAATAATTATAAATTTTTACAAAGAAGAGATCTTTGGGTATGTTGTTGTTGCTAAGTGCCATGGAGTCGACTCCATTTCTTATCAGCAACATAGAATTTCCGAGGAGGGTCTGGTGGGTTTGAACTACCTACCTTGGAGTCCTGGTGTGGCACTATGGTTTAATGCACCAGACTGCAAAGCTGTTTGAACTGCAAGGTCAGCAGTTCAAGCTCCCCAGCTGCTCCTTGGAAATCCTACACAGGGTTGCTATGGGTAGAAACCAACTCGACAGCACTTAACAACAACAACAACCTTGTGGTTAGCATTCCATTGCTTATCCTACAGTGCCAGGGGAAAGCAAAATTTAGTGTGGTTTTTCCATTATGAATGTTTGAAATACCTTGTTAAAATAGTAACAGATTAACTGTGAGAACAAAATTGTAAATTAGGGTTTTTTTCAAATGATCAATAATCACATAATTCCAAAACTGATTGAAGTGTATTGTAAATTGAAATTACACAATCACAACAAGACTATGCCTTGTCACTAGAAATACCTTCTGACCTTTTACATCTTGTGAAGCACTCTCCTGTCCTTCATGCAGTCAGAAATATTTCATTTGATTTTGGTGATTCTTGTGCTTAGTATTGTGGTGGTGGTAAGGGCTGTCAAATCAGTTCTGACTCACAGGCTTTCAGAGGAGCAACTGGTGATCTTGGACTACCGACCTTGCAGTCCAGCGCATTAATGCGCAGTGCCAAACCAGGAAAAATAGAATTAAAAATAAAGGAAAAATTTTAAGAACTTTTTGAAGTTTCCTTGTGTCATGCTGATGTTAAGTGCCCTCAAGTCGGTTCTGCTGTTGGGTTTGAACCACAGACCTTGTAGTTAGCAGTGCTTATCCTATAGCACCACACAAGGGCACCTTATAATTACAGCTATTGTAATCTATATTTTTCTTATCACAGAAAAATGTTATCAAAGCATTAATTAAAAGCTAGTACTTAGAGGAAAAACATGTTCACAAATGTCAAGAATTCTTATTAGAAGTTGTTGTTGTATAAGTGCCATCTAGTTGGTTCCGACTTATTGTTAGGTCCTGTTGATTCAGTGCCTACTCATAGTGACCCTATGCACAACAGAAAGAAACACTGCCTGTTCCTGGGCCAACCTCACAATTGTTCCTACGCTTGAGTCCATCAATGCTTCCACTTTGCCAATCCATCTTGCTGTGGTCTTCCTCTTTCTCTGACCCTCCACATTACCAAACATGATAGCCTTCTCCAGTGACTGGTCCTTTCTGACAATGTCTGAAGTATGAGAGATGACGTTTGGCCATCCTGGCCTCCAGTAAGCTCTCTGGCTGCACTTCTTCCAACACAGATCTGTTGGTTACTTTAGTAGCCCATGGTACTTTCAATATTCTTCTCCAACACCATAACTCAAATGCATGAATTCTTCCATGGTCTTCCTTATTCACTGTCCAACTTTCACATGCATATGAGGTTATTGTAAATACCATGCTTGGGTCAGGCACACCTTAGTCCTCAAGCTGACATCTTTGCTCTTCAACACTTTAAAAAGGTCTTGTGCAGCAGATTTGCCTAGTGCAATACGTCATTTGATTTCTTGACTGCAGTTCCCATGAGTGTTAATGGTTGATCCAAGAAGAATGAAGTCCTTGACAACTTCAATCTTTTCTCCGTTGAT